TGGCCGCCATAGCGCCGATCACGCCAAAGCCGTTGCGGACTGCAATGTGCTCCCACGGCTGCTGGATGTGTACTTAAACCCGAAAAGCTCAGAAGATCTCCGCATGAAGAGCAAACGAGCGCTGAAGAACATTATTCAGCGTTGTTTGCAGCTCCCTGCACTAGAGCCGCTACTGCACCCGGACGCGCCACAAAAGGTGCTCAAGTATGTGTGCGGGCAGTTTGCAAAGGTTCTCCCAACGGACATTGCGGCGAAACGCGAGTTTGTTGCCAATCGCGGTCTCGCCACCGTGCAGCGTATTCGTCCCGAGCCAGGGTCGAAGCTTGCAGAGTACATTCAAAGCATCAATAACTGTTATCCGCCTGAGATTGTGCAGTATTACTCACCACAGTATGCCCAAACCTTCCTGGAGAAGATAGAAAACTACCACGTGCAACAGGTACAGCAGAGCTAAGGGAGAAGGGGAGATGAGGGATGCGTGATTCATGTATAGAGAATTCATGGAATGAGAGAGAGCAAACACAACGACGACGAAGACAAACAACAGCGGCAGAGCAATAGTGAGAAGGATGAATATGAGAGGGTGAAAACGTGAGTGTATTTCTGCTGTCTTGTGTAAAGAAAAGACACGAATGGATTTTGGAGGCAATGAAGTCAATACCTTTGCGTAACCCGCGGGCAGGGATGTGTTCGCCCTTTTCTGTGTCTGTCGGTTTGTGTCTGTGTGGCTCTTTTTTTGATTTATTAAAACCAAAGCAACTTCTTCCACCCACCAAAAAAGAAGGAGAAGAAAAAGAAAAAGAAAGAAAGGAAAGGAGTGAAGAAGGGGGAGAGTGGGGAGATGCCAAATTTTGCGTGTGTGTTTGTCTGACAGACTCCTCGGCTTTTCTCTCTCAATTCTTTCTTTTTTTTACTCTTCATTCCGTCTCCTGAGAGGTATGAAGGTGAGTGGAGAAAATATGAATGTACGGAAAAATTGACTCGCGCTGCTTTTTTCCAGGCGGGATGTCAGCAATCACGCGAATTTATTGGCCGCAGCAGCCAATGAACAAAATGGGAGAAGAGGATGGGGCACCAGCAAAGGGGGAGCGGCCGAATGCCACATCTTTGTTGGCACTCGGCGTGGCATCACCTACTGCTGTTGTCGGTATTTCTGCACCACCCACTTTGAGTTGTCTTTGTTCTTCTTCTTATTATTTGTTATTTAGGGGGCTCACACATCCGGCCCTTGTGCAACCACGTGATGGATAATGCAGTTTCCAATTGCTGCGATTGGAGGACGCCTTTTTACCCCGTAAGTGCGGATGACGCCGGTGCAGTTGCTGGGGATGCAGCACTTGGGGCGTCGTCGGTCGCAAGTTCGTGCAGAAAGCGATCACGCATGGAGATGAGTGCATTTGCTTATTGGATGCAGAATATTCGTCACACTGTAGAGTCACTTGTCTCAAAAGAGAGTGGGGACGAGGAGTTTTCTTGGAAGCGCGTTGTATTAGAGACATTTCGTGTGCTGCGCGGCTGTTGGTTATTTCACGGGCTTCCACAAGACACGTTTGAACCCGCACATTCTTTGAGCCAAGTAGCGCAGCATCTACTCATTGCATACGGCGGTTATGGCTTGACAGATGACAGACAATTTATCTTTCTTCAAGGAGAGCAACGGATGCCTTACGTTGGTTTCCTTCTCGTTGCGCTGCAGCAACTGCTAGCGGAGCATGGTGACAGTCAATGGGATTTGCAACCGGCGGCGGTGTGGCCCCGCAGCTCGCCACGGCCTTTTAAGGACTGTGATATGCGTCTCGTTATGGTGGGACGCGGTGGCTTTGACCGGTCGAATGGCCGTGTTGATGCTGAAGGCACGGCTGATGGTGATTTCAGTGCGAGCGGATTTCTGTGTGGCGATCATGAACTTATGTCGATGCAGGCGGTGCTGCATGAGGCGATGGGAGCCTCGAACGATATCAGCGTGGTTCTTCTTGCGAACTGCCTCTTGACGGAGGATGGTTCCTTTTCACTTGTTAGGGGCCTTCACGCCAATTGCTTTTCAGCTGTGTGCGATGGTGATGGTTTGATGTGTCTAGTGTCTGGCGCAGATGTGGGGACGGTGGCGGCGGCAGCAGCGGCAGGAAACCCAGATCTTGAGTCTTTCCTCAGTCATGCCGCGAGCTGCGGCTGTTTCAGGACGCGCAGCGTGTATGCTCACGCTCTTCTTCTTGGCCCTATGGGACCGCTTTTTATTCACCTGAGGCAAAACGGCCATCATCATAATCAGAGTGGCAAAAGTACTACAGGTCACTTCAGTGGCCTGAACGACGAGTTGGATGAGGCACAGTTGTGTGAGTGGCTTCAGTGTTTTTTGTGGGTACCGCAGCCGACCATCATTGTTCTGTGGGACGACAGTGACAGGCTTACGAAAACTGGCGCCCTGGTTTCGCGTCTAGTGGGTTTGAGTGATGGTGGCTCCTCCTTGTGGAGTGGGTATCGCCGCTTCTTGCTTGAAGCTGATAATAATAACAATGATGCTTGCAACAGCAGTTCCTGCGGCAAACCGCCGACGGTGTATGTGCGGGACGCGACACTAACACTGGAGCGGGCCACGAGTTTGCGTGTGGATGCTGGAGTGTGCCAAGTATGGCACGTGCACATTTCTCCGCATTGCTGAGGCTGCTTGAAGAAAGGAGGACAGTAATAAAGTCACACTCGGAGAGGGAGAGAAACTCATACGTATAGGTCTCACTCTTTGCTTATCCCCTTGTGCGCGTGTGTATATACGTCTGCGTCTCCATAGATTCCACAGAGACCTACACGGATCACTCGTATCAGACTTTATTGTTGTTTGATCCGTCTGTAAATTGAGTAATTGAGTGAGTGATTGAGTGCGTGTATACATATATATATATGTGCCTTGCTGAACCGTTGGCGTAGCGTCGACTTCTTCGTTTGATATTCTCATTCATCTTTTATTATTTTTTTCCTTTATTTATTTTTTTTGTCTCGCGTGCCGCACTCCGCGGTGGGTGGGGCTGTGGTGTGGAGGCGGGCAGCAAGTTCGATTGCCGACTGGCACACACACGTTAATAGAGTTTGCCGCACGTCACTGCAGGGCGTATATAAAGGGAGAGAGCACGAGCTGAAGGAAATGAGGTGGCCGTGCGAGTGCCTGAAGAAGAGTTTCGCCAGCAAGAAGCCGCCGGTGACCCCTGTTCCTCTCAAAGTGATTGCGTGTGGCAGGGAGTTCATTATTTCTGTTGACCCGGCAACCTCTCTCAATTCAGTGCTTCACGGTGTGGCAGAGAGGGCGGTTCCAAATGCATCACGCAACAGTGCGGCACCTGCTCTCTTTCTGGACGACAAGCCCCTGGAAGGAGGCATGAGGGTGGAACAGCTGCCGAACGGCGCGGTTCTCCACCTGCACTTCGGCGCAGATGCCGCACGACAATTCCAAGACGACGGGGCGAAGGGGCGATCCGCCTCTAGCTCCATTTCACCGCCCAGTGTGGCCGCAAATTCCAACTGCACTTCGTTGTTATTCTCAAATTTGGCCGTTATGAGGCTGGTTGCCACTCCACTGTCTGCCTCTGTTGCACTCATTTCTCCGGAGTTGTCAAAGCATCGGGATGTTTCTTTTTTGAGAACCTCGCCTGATTTCTCCCACGTCATGCAACAGTGGTCATTGGTGCTGCCGCACAATGGAGTAAGAACCACGGTGCCAGCGGCAGCGGTGACGGTGCCATCGTCGTCGCCATCCCCAGATCCAGTCGAGATCCGGAGCCAACGTTTGCTCCGTGAAGGACGGAGTATCCCGAGTCTTGAGAGGCCCGATCCGCGGGCCGTGTCGGATGACTACGTGGTGATAGTCGTCGGAGACCAAACAGCTGCCGCCATCCCAGGAGAGAGGAAAGACAAGGAAGAGAAGGTAGGTGATGCAGTCACATGCGCCGCTTCTTATTTGGCATCTTCTGAAACAACCGCCTCATTCCGCCGACTGCGTGTTTGTCGTGGGTATCCCGTCGGAACGCTGCGAGAGCTTTTTGCTCCACACCCGTCGCAACGCATATTTATGGGCGACACTGCCATTGACGATGAGCGTCTGACGTTTGAGGCGTTGGGTGCTGGGCCATTGCAACGCTTCAGCTTCCGCACGGAATTGCCAAGAAAGAAGAAATTGAGCGAAGAAAGTGCCGTTAAAACTTCAAAGAAGGACGAGATGAAGAAGAACAAGGGTGCCGATGATGCGGCTGCTTTGTTGCGAGTGGGAACCTTGACGGAATGCGGTGGCGGGGGAATAGAATGCGACAGAATACCCGTTGCTGCTGATAAGGAGAGGAGCGTCTCGACGACGCGTGGAGGCGAGCGGGAGGAAAGGAGCAGCACTGACGCGGACAAGAAGCGTGCTGCGAGGAAGAAAAGGGGCGGTAATGGTTCCAGGAAACCCAGACCGGCGAGCAAGGTGCATAGTTTGGATATGGGTGTGGACGGGGAGGGGGCACGATTGCCAATAAAATATCCCGTTCTCGTGGGACACATTGACGCTGCCGATGGAAGGATGAACATGACTGGGCCTGGCTGGGGGTCGGGCAGTCGGGGTCGCGATTTATCGCCGTCTCCGCAGTCGCTACGTGGCTATGGGAGCAACAAAGAGGAAGAGGTGGGAACGGTGCGCCTTGCCGAGAACGAATCGGCGCGATCCCCAAATTGTTTCGTCCCGTTGAAGGCTGGGCCATTAAACGATGATAAGGTCCGGGAGGAAATTTACAGGCAGCGGCTCCCAACACCACCACCGTCAATCTCACCGCCCCTCCAATTGCCAAATGTTGTTTTAATGCATGAAGGGGATGATGCGAAGAGGCCCGTTTTGAAGTCTATCCTGTGTAACGTAACGCGTGCGCCGCATGGTGGGAGAAAATTTGTCGTCGAGGGGCATTTTCAGCGAAAGGAGAGTTTGTGGTCGGCCGCTGGCTCGGAAAATTCGCCGCCGTTTGCACAAAGGCCGACACACAAATGGGAGGGGACGGAGCCGAATGGGAGAGGAGCCTTTCCCTCTGGGGTTGATTATGCAGGCGGAATCCCCGCCGCGGGGGGGAACCTGCCTTTTCGTCCTGCGTCGATTCTTTTAACGGGGTCTTTTCTGAAACGAAGCCGTGGCCCCGCATCCCTTCCTGGCGGCGCGACTGGTGGCTACTGCCGCCATCGCCAGGGGAGCGACCCCACAGCGGGGGTCCGGGGTGGCGAGGGGGACAGAGTCTTCTAGCGCTCTCCTAACCGATGGGTGCCCTTGCATCACCGTCATTGATACACGCAACCCGGACCGTCACAAGTGCAACGTGCCTGTTGAGGCGTGCCGCTCTGTTGGCATTCCTCGCCAGTGGCTACAAAAGAAGGACGATTATATAAGTGGCAGTGAAGGATCCTCTGCGGGAAGGCGCTGCTTTTTGGGGCGAAAAGAATATTACATTTCTTTGGGCCGCTTGGGGCGGGGACGCAATGACTGTGTATTTTAGCTTGTTCCCAAAAATAAGACGCAAGCAGTACGCACTCCTCTCGCTGTTTGAAGGATGATTTGTGGATGGCCGGAAAACTTCTGCCTGTCTGTGTTATTTAGTTCGCGTGCTTGTTGTCACCCTATTATATATATATATATATATATTTGTTTGCTCTTTCGCCTTTCCGTATCGCGTCTCGACATTTTTTTAAGACTCTGTTGCATTCGATCGTCTCTTTCTTGTGTTTTTGGGCGAAGTTATCTGACTTTGTTCATATATATATATTTTGTATTTAGATGCACAACACCAGTTCACCGGCATAGTGGCAATGAGGGGTATGTGACGCACACTTGCAGGAGGTTTTTTTTTTTTGTGTGTGTTTTTGTGTTGTTGAATTTGCCCCAGCCACACATGTCGATGCATTTAAATGGGATTGGCGTGTGCGTGTGTGGAGGGATGATGGGATGACGGTTGGATAATTTTACATGGATGCTTCTTTGTTGTTGTTGTTTTGGACTCTCACCCCCCTTTGCTTCCTTTCTTCTCTTGGTAGGCGCGGTTGCCTACGCGAAGTATTCAAGAGGGAGGGGGCGGTAGTAAACAACACAAAAGAAGTGGAAAGGAATAGAGGAGGGCGAGGTGTGGTCATGTTGAAGTTGTGTTTCATCATACGAGCCGCAGCCGCTTCTTCTTCGTCGCGGGCTGCTGTAGGATGTAGTGGTGGGTACGAGAGGCGTCACGAGACTTTTATGCGATTTCTGACTGCGAACAAGGCTAAATTCGATGGGGTGGACGTGCGGCCGAGTGCTGAGCAAAGCCGGGGGCTTATTGCCACACGGAAGTTTCGTGAGGGCACGACGGTGCTATCCGTTCCGATGCACATATTTGCCATAAGCGCAGAACGACTACTTGAAGGTGAGCATCTTCGTTCTCTTCATCCCCCCACATTGGACGAGGTCCAAAGTTTCTTGACCGCGTGTAGCATCAAGGACCCTGTCCTGTGCGAGCAGGTTTTTCTTGCGCTCCTCGTTGCGGGGGAACGACTTGACCCAAAGTCTTTTTTTACGCCCTACTTTGACTCCCTGCCGTACCCCGCTGTAAACGATGAGGCGGTGATGAGCCTGCATAAGGACGTCCTGGACCCGATGCAGCTTGTGGAGTGGGATGACCACCAGAGAGAGTGGGTTACCGTTTTCCGCACACTGGCACGCCGCTGGGGAGACAAGGCTCCACCCGTTGAGTTGTGTTACTGGGCATGGAGAACTGTGTTGAGCCGCATGCATTTGCTTCCAGACCGTGGCTTAGCTCCCGCAGAACTAGGCTCCACACTGAACTACTTTGCCCTTTCCACCTTTGAACGGGCGGAGCGGCAGACACGGTTAGTAAAACGAATTCGGGCCATGGTGGGTGCCGTGTTTGGCAATGGCAACGCTGCGGATGAATACCGCCTTGTCCCAACTCTTGTGCCGCTGCTGGACATGACTAATCATTTACCCTCCGGAAACGTGAGTGTAGAGGTGCAGCCCCGCCCTGAGGTTGGAAGCTGCGCGGAGTTGCAAGCTGTGCGAGAAATCCAGGCCGGGGAGGAGATTGGCTTATGCTTCAACCGATCGCATAGGCCAGCCTTCACACTCTATCGATTTGGATTTCTTCCTATATGAGGGGAGGGGAGGGGGGAGAGAGAGGGAAGAAATGTTGGGAATATGTAGAAGAAGGGAGAGATGCGTTTGTTTGTGTGTTTGTGTTTGTGTGTGTGTGTGGCAATTACGATGCGGGATTCTCTTCGGCCCTCTTTGGCGAAGGGAGGTGGCGTTGTGCGCACTTTTTTTCCCAATTTCTTTTTTTTTTTTTCACGCACACCACGCGCCTTTCCGCGCGAATTACAGCAGACAGAGCGAGCGAGGGAGGAACGGAAGGGGGAAACCCAGCAAACAGGAAGTAAAAAAGAGCCGGAGGGCACCAGACGTGGTGGGAAAAGAGAGGGAGGACACCCAATGCCAGCGCCAGAGACGAGAAGGAAGCCAATAGCAAAAGGGAAGAGTAAAAAGTACCGAAGAGAGACGTGACCAAGGAGGAAAAGGAGAGGTTGTGCGGTGGGTGTTTTGCTACCGAACCTTGGGAGGCAAAAGGGACGGGATGAGAAGCTCTGTGTTTTGTCTGCGAACGCATACGCAGCTGTTATGGAGGGCACGGTCTTTGGCTTCTTGCGTGGGTGATAAGGTGCGGGTATTTCCCAGCGATTTCATTTGGCCACTTTTTTTATTGACTGGGAACTACGTCCACGTGGGTGTGATTGCCTACCGTACTTTTATCCACTTCCGTTTGCGCCAGGCGCTACGCATTACCATCGGTGTGCCTGTGAGCGCCATCATGCTCTATATGGTTTATGCCTCTTGGGCCTGGTACCCGGAGCCTGTCGCCGCAATAGACACAAGCTCGGTTGCAGGATGCCGGCCCGTGTTTTCTTCCACCGCTGAACTTTTGGACTTCGCTGGCACATGCTCTCGCCGTTACCACCGACTCTCTGAGAAGGGAGAGGATATGAATTCTGCCTGCAGGAATGAGTTGCTGGGTGACATGCTCGCCATCTTGCGTTCTATCGCGGCTATTGAGGGGAGTTTTGAGGAAAGGGAGCTAGTGACGGCCTCTTTGACCGTCATGGATCCATCACGTGGGGTGGAGCAGGAGGCGTCACCCGCGGAGGTGATTTTGCGCACCGTACTGTTTGTGTCACTGGATCAAGGGTGGTTTGATATTGTGGAAGAAGCGCGTAAAATGTATGGAAATCTTGTGCGAGAGCGCCCTGTGCCGCCGCAGGCAAACGTTACGAGTGCCGTGGCGGATTTATGCGCACTCTCGTACGAATTGGAGCGTTGCACGAGTCCGGCGGAGGTGACAATGCCGCAGCGCCAACGTGTGGCACGGGCCATTGACGCGTTTCGTCCAGGGAAATCGGTGAGGGAGCGCTGCACCATTGCAGCGGAGATCGACGTTCTCCCTCTTGTGGATCTTGACAAGACGACTCGCTGCCTCATGCTGACACGTCATAGTCCTGGGCGGCGACCGCAGTTAATCATCACGTTTGTCGGTACAAATAGCGTGCGGAATTGGTGGACGAACCTTTGGTGTACCATGCGGGAGCTTCCCCCGGTGTTTGGCGTACAGGCGTATGTTCACAGGGGTTTTTTGGAGCTACTAGAGTCGATTGCGTTTGAGGAGGTTGCAAAGGACTTTGATCAAATTATCCTTATAGGCCACAGCATGGGTGGGGCTCTTGCGCAACTCGCCGGTCTCTACTTGGCGAACGAGAGGCCTGAGAGGCGAGTCACGGTCTTGACTGTGGCCTCGCCTCGTGTCTTTGCCTCCCGTCAATGGTTTTGGCAAAGAATTGCTGGTTGGGTTTTCATTCTCAACGGGAAGGGGAATGATGCGGCAATTGCACTTCCCAGCAACTGCCGTCATATACGTACCTTCATGTGTGCGGATGTGGTTCCGCGGCTACCTCCCGCCTTTCTTGGATACCAGCATTTGGGCACACCGCTGCCGCTGCACACGGGATGCCCCACGCGCATGTCTTATTTGGGTTGGGGGCTGTGGTCCTGCTTGTTTCACACTGCAGATATGTACAAGGCGGTGCTGGAGCGACCTGCCGTGGCACAGCTTCACAGATACGAAGCTATGTCTACATCTTGTGCGCGCTGAATATGGTGATCGGATAACTTTGCAGCGTGCGTGGGATGGGTTTTGAAGACGAGGAGGGAGTTCACTATGACCGCGGTGTATTGAAATAATAATAATAATAATAAACAACAACAGCGAATCCTCGTCTATTCTGCTCTGCCGCTGTCTCCGTTTATGTGGCATTTTTGTGCAAATGTGAGTTTCCATCACCTCTTTTTCGCGTTGTCAGTGAGGCTTGCTGGTGCCTGCCACGTCCTTTTTTTTTTTTGTATGCGTGTGTGTGCGCGCGCGAGCACCCTTCTTGACTTCTTTTCTTCCACCGTTTTCCCGTGTTTTTGTGCTTAGCAGAGGAAGGGAGAGAGAGAACTACAAGCCCCGCGAATATGGATTCCAAAAAGAACGCTCACAGACTGAGCCGCATATTTCGCAAGCCAAAAGTAATGGTAGCACCGCGTAGTTGGAGAGAGGAAGGTGGTGAAAATACTCTGCACAGCGGTGTGCCGCTCTCGTTGCTGAATGCGATGGTGCATGAACTTACGGATGATGACAAGACGCGCGTGGCGGCCCAGCAGGATCCCCCTTCCGTTCTACAGGAAGAACTTGCCAAACGCGCAGCTCGCTTTGGGCTCGCCGTGGGCGGTCACAACGGCAATGGTGGGGACGCGGCGGCTGGAGATGACTCGATGCGGAAGCGCATGGAGCGCTTTGGTACGACGGATCCGCCGCCGCTGCCAGTTTTGGTTGTGGACGAGGCGACACTGAAGTCACGCGAAGCTCGCTTCAAATCAGAGGAGGAAAAGAAAATGGATGAGGCGATGCAGAAGCGACTGGCACGGTTT